AAGTGATGTCTAAAGGAGAGACATGAATGCCTATTTATAGTGTAAAGACTCCTCTTTAATGCTTGAGTAGTGTATGACATTGGTTTGCCTTCCATCTACACCATCCGTGTGTCTTATCTTCACCCACACTACTTTGCTGTCAGCGCCCTTCGATTGAATAAATATAGGTTGCCACGCTTTTACACACAAGGACTAAGTAACTTGGCCGGTAAGTGCTTGTATTGTTATCCCATAAGTTGCAGGTTTGAACTTGATTTATTGCATTCCCTTGATATTTTGCTCACTTACCTTCTTCCCTCCTTTAAGCCCAACAATACCGCTTCTTCACTTTCGTTGGACCAAGACCTTGCCAATAAAATAGGTCCCCCATATATGGCCCCATGAAAATATTACTTGTTTCTTGAAAAATATTAGTGAAAATATAATATTTTACGAGTTAATTCTAAGAATGATCCATTGACTTTTGACATTTACCATTATCCTTGACTTTTATTTGATCATAATCGGTTCATTCACTATTGATTTTGTTCCAAATTTGATCATTCAGTTAAATATCCTTTAATAGGCATTGAATTTAAGTATAATCATGTAAAAAATAGCTAGCAGAATCGCCTCTTCAAATTTTCATATTTAAGGATGTTGGAACAAAAGATATGATCGCCTCAAATTGAGGGTAGAGACTTATTAGTAGTCTGGTCGAAATTAGTTTATGCCCGCATCAACTTATTCTTCAATTTGTCCATTTTGGTAACACGCAAAATTTTTACATTCATACTTTTAAATTTAACGATTACTAAATTGATCTTTAACTGGAGAACCAAATTTAAAACAAAATCAATAATTAAGAGACCACTTATGGTTAAATTAAAAGTTAATGATAAAAATTGATAAATGTCAATAGTCAATAGACTATTTTTTAAATTAACTCTAATTTTTAATATATCTTGTGGACTACTGATATAAGAATATATTGAAAGTACATTTTTTTTTTTGGAAAATAAAAGTATATTTTTATTACACTAAATGTGTATTTTTAGACATTATTTGAGTACTGAATGTTCATTATTTGATATACTACAAAATATCCACAAATAGTATATCAATATACCTTCAATATATTAGAAATAAACATTTATTCATGGTCAATATTGCAATATAAATCATGGTCCATAGTATAATATTATAGTTTGCCAATTTCTTGTTGGGGCGGGGGTGTGACAACCAGGAGCGATGGGCTGTCAGTAGTAAAATTAGGAGTGTGTAACATGATTCAATTAAAAAGTACCATATTTAATTTTAAAATGTTTTATTTTTGTTCTTCCTGAACATTTTAATTAATTTAAACTCATTGTATTTTTCATACTATATCTTGAGCCAATCCCTCATCACGGGGAGCGTTATGCCATGGAACCGTGTTCACCATTCATGGTGAACACAGTTCCAACGGTGTTAGTACACCGTTATCTTTTTTTTTTTTTCTTAATTAATTGCGTTACTTTTCTTCTTCATTTTCACATTTTGCGGTTTCACTTTAATTTGAGGTGAACAATGATTTCGGACATTCATAAATTATGAATTCATGCCTGCACATTCACTTTGGAACCATGCCTACACATTCCCGTCCGAAATCACGGACATTCATAAATTATGAATCCATGCCTGCACATTCACTTTGGAAACATGCCTACACATTCACTTTGGAACCATGAGATTATGAATTTTCTGTTATAAGATTATGAATTTTCAGTTATGAGATTATGAATTTTCTGTTATGCGATTATGAATTTTCTGTTATGCGATTATGAATTTTTTGCGGTTTCACTTTAATTTGAGGTGAACAATGATTTCGGACATTCATAAATTATGAATTCATGCCTGCACATTCACTTTGGAATCATGCCTACACATTCCCGTCCAAAATCACGGACATTCATAAATTATGAAAATCCATGCCTGCACATTCACTTTGGAACCATGCCTACACATTCACTTTGGAACCATAAGATTATGAATTTTCAGTTATGAGATTATGAATTTTCTGTTTTGAGATTATGAATTTTCTGTTATGCGATTATGAATTTTCTGTTATGAGATTATGAATTTTATGAAAGAAAATTCATAATTTGATCAACGCGCGCCGTTAACTCCACATCCGCGAATTTTTTTATTTTTTTTTGCCTAAAACGACGTCATTTGGTCTTGTGTTCACCATGCACGGTGAACACGTTTCCAGGGCATAATTTGCCTCATCACGGACACGATAATAGTTGAACTGTGAATGTAATTCTCGGTTAACTTGATGCCACGACAGAAGTTGACAGTATACGAATTTAAATTTTGTTAAAAATATAATTGAGAAAAAAGTTTAAGATGATGGAAGGTGTCAATTATATCACTTGTGCATGCATGAAAACTAGGGTTGGACTAGTAAGTTTTTTTTTTTTTTTTTTTTTTTTTTTTTTTTGTGCAACTTAAGATTTTCACCGTCAAACACAATGACTAATCTTCTCGCACTTCTATTAGGTTGGATAATTTATTTGAAGATTTAAGATTTTGCTCCATATTTGTTCCTATTTGTGGCTGAGGGGTTGAGTGCTATGATTGAGAGAAGCATGTCTGCGGGCCGTTTGCATGGGGTTTCGGTGGTTAGGGGAGCACCTTCCATCTCTCATCTCCTTTTTGCAGATGACTCCTTCCTCTTTTTACGGGCTAATGAGGAGGAAAGCATTCAAATGAGGTATGTGCTTGACACTTATGTCAGGGCTTCTGGTCAGCATATAAATTATGATAAATCTGCTGCATGTTTTAGTGTAAATGTCCCACAGAATAGAAGAAATGAGATTGTTGATATACTGGGAGTGGATGAGGGTGAAACGAGTGGGAAGTACTTGGGTTTGCCATCCCTAGTGAGGAGGAGGAAGAAGGTTATTCTGGGGTTCCTGAAGGATCGTATACTCACCAGGGTCCGTTCTTGGAATGCCAAGTTCTTGTCTAGAGCTGGGAGAGATGTACTATTGAAGAATATTCTGCAGGCAATGCCAGCATATGCTATGATGGTGTTTTTGCTCCCCTTGGGCCTATGTCGGGAAGTAGAGGTAATTTTGAATCAATACTGGTGGACTGGCAGTGTGGGAAATGGCCGTGGGATCATATGGCGTTCATGGGAGGGTCTGTCAAGGCCTAAAACATGTGGTGGAATGGGCTTTCGTCGTCTACATGAGATGAATAAGGCTTTACTAGGAAAGCAGGCGTGGAGGTTAGTTTCCAATCCCACAAGCCTAGTGGCCCGTGTGTTTAAAGCTCGGTATTACCCTGACTGTGACTTTTTTTATGCCAGGGAGGGTAGCAACCCATCCTACATTTGGCGGGGTATGCTGGAGGTAAAAGGCTGTTTGAAGGAGGACTGTAGAAGGGTCATAGGCGATGGCAAAGAAACTATTATTGGCAGGGATCCTTGGCTACCAGTGGATGGTAATCCGTTTGTGGAAACGGAGTTGCATCAGACAGTTTATGAGGCATCGGTGGCCTCCCTGATAGATTTGCATGGTAAAGGTTGGGATGTGGATTGTGTAAAGGATATTTTTAATGCCCATGATGCTAATATAATTTTGAATATTCCTGTCAGTATCCGGAGGCCTCATGATCAGTGGTTTTGGCAATGGGAGCAGAAGGATGCGTATTCGGCCAAATCATGTTATAAGCAGCTTACAAGGTTGGCTGCAAGTGACCGCTCATGGGCAAGTATTTGGAACCTGCAGGTCCCGCCTAAGGTGAAGAATTTTTGTTGGCAGTTAGCGTTCCTCTATCTTCCCACACGTGATATTTTGTTAACTAAGAATGTTGCATGCTTGGTGGATTGCCATATGTGCAGGCAGGTACAGGAGTCGGCCATGCATCTTTTTGTTCAGTGTGGGGAGGCAGTTCGGTTTTGGAACATGTTGGGGATGCCGCATGTGTGCAGCTTTGATGGTAATCATCTAGGTGACTGGTTCTTTTGGGCTTTGGGCACATTAGATTTAATTGCTAAGCCTAGTTTTGTGATGGCTTGTTGGGGTGTGTGGTGCAGTAGGAATGAGAGTGTGTGGAAGGGTACTGGTTTTGATTTATCTACTATGGTGCGTAGGACTATGGCGTTTCTGGAATGTTGGAGATATGCTAATGAAAAACTACCAGTTGGTGCTGGCCACATAGACACACATGCCGTGACTTCTTGGGTAAGACCAGTGCATGGGAGGCTCAAACTTAATACTGATGCTACGTTAAGGGAGGAGGATAATCCTATGGGGTTCGGATGGGTCTTGCGGGATGATGGTGGTAATTTCCTTGCTGCAAAGAATGTCAGAGTACCCGGGTTGTATACGGTTAGGGGAGCAGATGTGCTCTCTATTCGGGAGGCGTTGAGTTGGCTAAAGGGCACTGGTTTGGGTGCTGTAGATGTGGAAACAGATTGTAAGATTGTTTTTAATGCTATTACTTCGGATTCTTTTATTTCTGTTTTTGGCTATTTAGTAGATGATGTAAAGAGCTTGGCATCTGAGATTGAGGATGTGCAGTTCTGTCATGTTAAGCGATTTGCGAATTGTGCTGCCCACACTGTTGCTAGGGAGGCCTTTTCTGTGTCAGGTTACGGTGAGTGGTTAGATGAACCACCTGCCTTTCTTGTTGACATTCTTGATTCCGATTTAATGAATTAATCTTTCTCTTTCAAAAAGATTGCTCCATACCAAAGTCAAAGATTATTGACTCCTTAACTTTTGGTTAATGATAAATAAGGATTGGTGAGCTTATTATGCTACTTGTGATTAGTAGGGACGAGGTTATGTGAATTAATTCCGCAAAATTGAGAATTTGATCATTAACCAAAAAATTAAATAAAACCGAAAGGGACGACCGTGTAGGCGTGTACAGCTTGTCCCACATATTTTATTACACGAGTCAGATACGTACACTCTCTTTAGAGATTTATTTATATCGTCACCGGTCTTTCTCCGCGTGTATCGATCATAGCTACCAACCCCCCTTCCTTCATTCCTTCAGTAAGTGTCCTCTCTGCTCTCCCTCACTCCCATTGCTTCATTTTCTGCTATCTTGATTGATTGTGTTAATAAATAACTATATTGATTGTGAAAATCATGTTAGAAATTGATTAATTTGTTTTCTCCGATAACACAAATAGTACTAGTTATCAACCTCCTTTCTGGGTAGGTAAAGAGTTGGACTTCTTTTTCTTTTTTGTGGATCGTTGTGCTTCAAGATAATACAGTATATTTTTTTGATAATTGGCATTTAAGATAATAGATTTGCTTGGGTAAGGATTTGAACCTTTTATGAATTATTGCGATGAAAATTTGAGCTCAAACCTGACTAGTTGTTAGTATGCAGATTCCCCCAGCTTGTTTTGTTTTTTTGCAGTTTTATCTAGGGATCTTATGAATGAACAATCACTTGGATAGTGTGCAGTGATTGTGTAAAATAATTTTGTGCTAATAACGATGATAGTATATTAGTTGTTATACTTTAGAAAGGAATTGGGAGAGTTTAGATGAGAGGACAAAGGAGGCTTAGGGATAATCAACCATTCAACCCAATCATCTGACATAGAAATGAATTTGGAAAATTTTAGGAAGCCATTCTAGGACACACGCAAATGATGAAGTCCAAAAAGAAACAAAAATTAGGAAAAAAGAGTGACTTGCGCTTTGTTGATTACTACTCCACTTTAGATGTACCGACTTAAATCTCTGTGTTTGATCTATTTGCTTGTTCAGTACAGAAAAACCGAAGAGAATGGCGGGTGTGAACCTGACAATGACGGCTTGCACTGTGTGCCTGATGCTAACCTTGCATTTCACGATACGCCTTGTATCACAACATCTTTCAGCATGGAAGAAACCAAAGGAGCAAAAAGCAATACTTATCATCATATTTATGGCTCCCTTGTATGCTGTTGTTTCCTATGTTGGTTTAGTGGATTTTCTCGGGAGCAACACTTTTTTCACATTTCTGGAGTCTGTCAAAGAATGTTATGAAGCTCTTGTAAGTCTTTGTAGCTAACATATTTACATTTTAAATGCCTATGATGTGTTCGATCATTTCACTGTTTCTTCTTGAAAGTGGAATTTGTGACTCCATACTTGTTAGTGACTATTGTTTTATGAAATGCAGGTTATGGCTAAGTTTTTAGGCTTGATGTACACATACCTAAATATATCCTTAAGCAAAAACATAGTACCAGATGAGATTAAAGGAAGAGAGATTCACCACTCGTTTCCGATGACTCTCTTTCAGGTAGAGTGTTTCCTTCAAAATCTGCATTGTCTATCATTGTCTTATCAAGCAGGACAGTTGCCATTTTTTTTACGTGGAAGGTAAAATAATCAATCTTTATTGTTTGGCAGTCATGGTCAAACTAAGAACTGAAGAAGCATGCCATTTGTTATACTACGCTAAATATATTATTTATATGTGCGATACTATGTTTGATACTATAAAGTACTACGTATTTGACAATAGATGAATCTTCATGCACTTCAGTCACTACTCAACCTTAGTGAAGTTTTGGAACCTGCATCTCATGGTTCATAGCTGAATTGAAGCATGTACAACATCTCAACTAAAAGCCTAAGTTATAGTTGGACTGCACATTTATGTTTATATATTATATGCTCAATACGCCCCCTCACTTGTGTGAGACGATTATTTTGATGGGCTTCAAGCAACACGTGGACCATAGTGGGGTTGACTCTAATACTAAATTGAAGCATGTGTTTCATCTCAACTAAAAGTTTAAGTTGATAGTTGAACGGCACATTTATGTTTATATATTATATGCTCAAGAAGGTGTATACCTTACATACTGTCTTCATGATCTGCAGCCTCACACTGCCCGTTTAAACCACCACACATTGAAGCTTCTCAAGGACTGGACATGGCAATTTGTTTTGATCCGCCCTGTATGCTCTGTGTTAATGATAGCTCTACAACTTCTTGGAATGTATCCCACTTGGGTTAGCTGGACATTCACCATTATCCTAAACATTTCGGTTTCGCTAGCTTTATACTCACTTGTAGTATTCTACCATGTGTTTGCAAAAGAGTTGGCACCACACAAGCCACTTGCCAAGTTTTTGTGTGTGAAAGGAATTGTCTTCTTCTGTTTCTGGCAGGTAATTAATTCTCTCTCTCTCTCTTTCCCATCTAGAGTTGTGCACTGTTTCTAATCATCTTTCAAGAAGTAAAATCTCCACATCAGAGTAGACTGCACTTTCTTTTCACAAGAGTAAGCCTAGAGTGGCCATCTTTCCCAACTAGTTTGATAGAATTTCCCGGCTGATTTCAAGTGCCATGAATTTCACGACTGATATCCATTGCACGTGTTCTTATTTTTGGGGGTAACCGCAACCAAGATGGCTAAGGATACAAACTTGTAATCACAAGGTCACAAGTTTGAATCCCAGCATTCTTAGTTTGAGTTGGTCAGCTATGGAAAATCTAGATTGGTTTATGTCCTCGTGATCCTTTTCCAACTAGGGTCACAAGACAGTTTATATCAGTACAAGCAATTCATGCTCTCTGGATCTGTTAATGCCACAAACTGCTACTTGAATCTCGATATTTATCATTGACATACTGCGTTTTCAATATTGTTCTCGTTTTTCCAGGGAATTGCGCTCGAGATTCTTGTTGCCCTCGGGATAATAAAATCCCATCATGTCTGGTTCGATGTGGAGCACATTCAAGAAGCTCTTCAGAATATGTTAGTGATGGTGGAGATGGTCTTCTTCGCCATCGTTCAGCAGCATGCGTACACTGCAGAGCCTTACCGCAAAGAGAACAAGAAGGACTAATTCCAAAGTTGGCGTGTATTTGTAATTTGTATTATCATATAAGAGTTGCTTGTCTAGTATTAGCCCCTGCAGATTCTGCTCTGGTTATTGTATTAGATAATTTATGATCATGAGTATAGATTTTGAATTCATGTTATGGAATGTGACTTAACGTAGTCTATTTATTTTGTGGTAGATTATAAATTGGTAAACCAGCTCATAATTGCCACACCCCTATAGCATAGACAAATTGGATTTGAAGAGAAGCTTTTATTTGATAATCAAAGTGTTTGCATTGTACTAATTCTAGAAGAAAAGCAGAACAAAACATGTCTGCCCATTCAAGAGTAAATGTACAAATTTAAGAACCAAAAAGAGCAAGGTGGAAAGGAAGATAGGTGAGAGGAGATAACAGATGAACAAATTGTCTTGAAGCTTTGACCAGAGCTTGACATCATTTTTCTTATCACATCAAGAAAAGGAACTACCATAAAGTGTAGTGAAATTTATTCCAGATCGACTTGAACTAACCCGAACTCAATGAGATCCTTCACTCACTGACTTTCTGCAATGCGATGAGGAAGCAAATTAGCACCCAGAACCAAAAATTAATGCAGTATATCAGAGTGCTATACTGCTATTGCACATTGATGAGGTGAAAATGCTTTTCTTTTTCAAATTTATTTAGAATCAAATAAAAAGACAAGTTTCCTTTCAAAAAAAAATAAAAAGACAAGGATTTGTGGAAAAAGCCCCCTATTAAGCAGAAAGATGCTAGCAGGTGATGCATGAGCAACTTATAAGATGATCAAAACTATGCTGGAACAATTAGGAATTATAAACTTTAACTACATGCTCTAGATTCACAGCTAAGTCATGGTCATAGACTTATTTTAACAAATATAATTTCTATTTGTCTTAGTTGACACCAAGAATCATGTACCTCTTCCTTCTTGTCTTTCTTGCCTCCTGTGAATAACTTATATCCTCCGTAGAAGACCAACCCCCAACCAGAAAGGGAAATGAGCACAAACTACAAGAGAACAAAATACAAATCAACCTTACAGGTTATGATTTACAACTGCTGCAGGCATGCATTTATTCAAAACTCAAATTCTCAAGTTAGCAAATTGATATAATGATAATAGGAACCAAATGCACAGTATGATATAATTAACCAAGCCATGAAAAGAATGAACTACTAGCAACCTATAAGCAGCTCAAATTGTATCTGAAGTCAGAAACACTCACATGCTCTTCTTTCCATATTGAAGGGCTCATTGGGTCCTCCCAGAAGTTCACCTTTGGTGGTCCATGATGGTCTGCATAAAAAAGTAACAGGAATTAGATGAAGATTTTGTTTCTTCACTTTAGCTAAAACCTCTAGCATACAGTAAAATCTCTTGGAATCAAATTCTTCTCAGTCAACCGCATAGTGTGAAAAGGTAAGAGTACACACCTAATCAGTTACATTGTTTGATCAGAGTTTAATATTAAATTAGTCAATCACAAGAGTATCAGTTCCTTCAGAAAATCGTTATAATAAAGAACAAATGATTCCCAGGTAGATTATAAATTCGACAAGTTTTCTGCAACAATAGATCCCCAGGTAGATCAAAACTTCGACAAATTTTCTGCAACAATTGACCCTCAGGTAGGTTAAAACTTTGACAAATTTTTGTCAAAAATTTACACAATTTGTACATAGTTTTAGCTTTCATAACACAATAATAACAGATGATGCAATGTAGAAACTATACTTGTAGTTCCAGTATAACCTATAAGAAAACTATTTTCAAATTTCTACCTTCAAAAATGGTTTCAATAAAGAGCAGCTTATTTTCTTGAACTTCAAATTGAAAAGGCAAAAACTCCTATGAAACTGTCTCATGGATCCTTATCCGTGAGACGGATCAGGTTTTCCATAAGTATTACGCTTTCCCTCATAAGTATTATAGTTCCCTCATAAGTAACTCTCTTCAACTCCTAAATATTACGGAGTACATTTTTCCTCAAAAGTATTACATTTTTCCTAAATAAGTATTACACCTTCCCTTATAAGTAATAATCACTTTACCCATTATTAGGATTACACTTTTCCTTAAAAGTATTACGTGTTCCCTCAAAAGTAATAATCAATTCATTTATCCATTTACACTTTTTCAGTTTTTCTCAATATTAATGTTTGATTTAAAATTATTACATTTTTCCCTCAAAAGTATCACACTTTCCCTCATAAATAACAATCAATTTATGATAAAAATATTACAATTTCCTTCATAACTTCATAGGTATTACATTTCTATCTAAACCTAGTCGTCTCACAGAAAATGATCCATGAGACGGTCTCACAGGAGACTCACCCAATTGAAAAACATACAAACATTTCAGTGACAAAATTAAACAATGGGAAAATTGGTATTTATGTTTCCTAAGTAACACATAAGACATAGGTTCTCCTGCAACTACTAAAGTGCAGGATTTTAGAACATGTACCATGAAAAATGATACATTGATGTATTTATATAAAAGAGATGAAAGAAAATAATATAGTTCCCTACAGAGACATTTGCATACATAAATGTACACGAGCCTAAAATATGCATAGATGTATACAAACATATATATAATTGCATAACGCAGAAAAACATAAATCAGAATTCATTCCAATCGTAATTGTGCATGCACAAATGACAAATATACATAGACTCTAACCAAATTTCATATATTCGGAAGTAGTTACAGGCAGTTAGGTCATTAAATCGGAAATCAGGTTAAATATTCGCATGGAGAAAGGCTAAAAGAGATAGGATATAAGAAAATTACCGCCGCCGCCGGCGAGACCGCGCCGCTGGATGAAGTTGGCGGCTTGGTTCGCAGTAGGGACTGATTTGGGAGCGGAGAATCGAGAGATATTCGCGGCTTGCCGTGCCGCAGCTGTCCACGCCGCCATATGAGTATTTTCAAAGGCCTCTTCCGGTCGTCGGAGAAAAAAAAGAGCAAAGTTAAAGAAATACGAGAGTGAAGAGTTGGAAATGAGTCGGCGAAAATGGTACAAGGGGAGAGAAGAGAATCGGTCGAAAAGACCGTAACGTCCTTCCCGCTTGTTGGGGATCTTCTTGGGCTGGCTCAGTTTGGCAACTAAGGCCTGGCCCAAGTATATGAATAGGGCAAATATTTTGTAGACCTCGTCCAAATATACACAATTTATATACTAAATGTTCACAATTTATCTTTTAAAAATTTACAATTTGTGATGATCATGTATTGTATTCACAAATTCTTAAAATTTAAAAACAATTTATATTCTAAAAGTTCACAATTCCAATACTAAAATTACACAATTTAAGACCAGGATCGACTAGGGATGACAATTTGCCCCGTCCCCGACGGGATCCCGCCCTGAAGGGGACGAGGATGGAAAAAAATTTCGAAAAACGGGGACAGAAATGGAGAATGTATGTAATTCTCCGAATAATTATTATAATTAAAAAAATTATATATGATGAAGATATTAGAAACGACTCAATAATAAGGATCCAGGGTCTGGAAATGCATAATCCGAGCAGCCCAAGAAGAGTTTCAAACCCAGAGACTATCTCCGAGCCCAGAATATTGGGTTTTGAGTCTTTTGACTTAGTCTCGTGACCCACCACGAGTTTAGCCTGAGGGGTTGAGATTTTCTTTGTATAAATTAGTTATATACAATTATTGGAGGATCATGTCTTATTCCTTTGCAAGACATCGCTTACCAAATTCAATATCATTTACACATTCATGTTCCTTTCCTACACTACATTCTTTGTAATCTTCTTTCATCAATCAAGGAAATATTAATTCAATTATATTATCCTTAATATTTTCATTCATTATTATATTTTATGCGAACTTATTGATCCATATGATTTCATACACCGGATTAATTTTCTCCATTAATATATACTCCGTATATAAGTAATGCCAATGTACTGTATTACTGTGACAGTACAGTGGCATTACTTAATATAAATTAAAACCTTAGTTTTTAAAATTAAAAAATACACTAATTTAAGATTTTGACTAGGGTCCGTTTGGAAAGCAAGAAAGTGACTTCTGAAAAATGACTCATTTTCATAAGTCATTTACCTTTTCGATGTTTAACTGCACAATGGAAAACTATCTTTTGGTGTTTGACTCATTTTCTGGAAATGATGTAGAATTGTATAATTACACATTTTATATAAGTAATTATTTTGTTTAAAATATATAAAATTTATAATAATATTATAAATAATAATATTTATTTTTAAAATCAAATAATATTATTTATAAAAAAAACTTTAAAAAAAAAACAAAAAAAAAATGACGGAAACCAGAGAGTTCAAACTCTCTGGTTTCCGTCGTTCTCTCTGGTTTTCAGTAGCCGGAAACCAGAGAGCACTACTTACTCTCTGGTTAGGCCTGCCGGAAACCAGAGAGTCAATTTCTGGTTCTGCCGACTTGGATTTCCAAGTCGGAAACCAAATTGGTTTCCGACTTGGAAATCCAGAATTTGTGTTTCCCTTTGATTTTCCGATGACGAGAAGCGATGTCCAGAAGCGAAGAGACGAAGAAGTGATGTCGAGAAGGAAGAAGCGAAGAAGAAGGTTGAAGCGGAAAATGACTTCCCCAAAAAAAAGGGGAAGTCATTTTCCATAAAAATGACTCTATTTTCCATTGACCCAACATCATTTTTCATTGACTTTAGTGTTTTCCTACTTACCAAACACTCAAAACTCGGAAAATGATTTTCATTTTTCGGGTTTCCGAACACACCCTAAGAGTTAATCGGAGGCGGGAAATTCCCGTCCCCGCCTAATTCCCTGCGAGAACGGGGATGAAGACTGTTTTCAATTTTTCATCAGAGATGGGAACGGGAACAAGAACGAGGTCGGAGTTTCAAGGATGAGAATGGGAAGTATACTTCTCACCCCCACCCATTGCCATTCTAGGATCTACCTTGCAAGGTGGATCCTGATCCATGGTATAACAACTTGCGTTTGGGTGCATCTTGATTAAAAAGTGGTAGTGAATGCCATATGAGGAAGTGATGGAGCTAAGCAAATAGAGAAGACACCTTTATTCTCTGACTAAAAAAACAGGTGAGAATATTTTTTTTTTGGTTGCCCAAAGATATCTCTCCCGCCGATTGCTTAGAAGACTAATCTCACGTCCTTATTGTCAGCACACTAAGTGGTAGGGGACTGGCCAGATAATAGACAAGTGAGAATATTGGTTTTGTAGTTTTCATAATTTGACGTTTGATTCACAAAATGAATTTTGAATAAATAGAAATTTCATTTTATACGAAATAAGAATAGACTTCAAGAATTATGTTCAAATATTCGAGTAGATTAAGTAATAAAAAATAAAATAGGCATCTAAAAAACAAAAGTATCGTCCACACTCCACACACATGACTATATAATACTCCGTAACAATGATTTACTAAACATCGAAATATGTGAATTCTCAAGAATGTTATTCTATTTTAGACTTATTTCACAAACCAAACATGTTGTAATATGTAGAGTGAAGATAATAAGTGTGACACATGACAAATTTGGTTAAGAAGAGTTCTTGAAATAGTGTGGTCCTTAATCAACCTTAGAAAAATATCATAGTCTCCTAAGTTTAACTGCCATTAAGACAAAGTCTCATAGGGTTAAAAACAAATGTAGTAATGGTTTAATTCACATTAACCATTGTTATACCATTTCCATATATATACACCAAAAAACAATTACTTTCCAGAAAATAAAATGGAATCCATAGTGAGTTGGGTTGGGCAACAACACCACAAGTATAGCAACATCATTCAAAACATAACTGCAATACAAAAACAGTGCAAACTTTCAGATACCAGTTTGAGCACATCCAGCAGAAACTACCATCACGGTTAACAACATCACTTTCATATAGTGACGCTCAAGCTCGGTGATGGGTGAGAATTTGATGTTGGCGAACCAATTCAACCATATATTACTCATCTTTCAATGCAGTAAGGCACTCTTCTCAACTTGCGTTTGAGGTTCGATATTCTGCAAGGAATTTAACTCGAATGTTAGAAGACATTATTGAAATGAACAATCATTTAAGAACACATCATCTAGCACAGAGATATAGAGTTTACCACTAGAAAGGCAATAACGGACTAAAAGAAGGCAAGCAAGCGACAGAGAAATGACCAGTATTTGCAAGAAAGAAAGGTAGAACAAGAAGAAAAAATTGCAAGCATTATCATTTTGATATTCACAAAGTTAAGAGACTAGGAAAAGTTATATTCAGCTTTCATGATGCCCAACAATCAAATTTGCGGGACCATTTATGTTGCAGTTATAATCCGGAGCATGGCCTATTCTGCATCCTTGGCCTTGCCCTCAGGCTATGTTAATGGGATATGAAAATGACGCTCAGAACAAGATGATGAATGGTGGTTTTGGACTCATTATGCACATTCTCAATGTCCTAAAATTTATAGGCTACGGATTTAACCATCCACTCTGCTAAGAATAAAGAATTAGGTCCTTAAGTACACTTCAAAGTTCAAAGAACAACTATCTGATAATGAAGGTAATCCCTTCACCACATGGCTAAAACTAATTCAAAATTACCTATGCACAATAAAAGCAAATAGATCCAAATTAATGGTGTAGAGAGGTGGCTTCATGATAATTTAGCATCAGACATAACCAACTATCTAAATGGACCAATCATCAAACAGAGTGCCCCGATACATAAAAGGTGCCCAAAATATCCCTCCTCTCAAACACTTAAGTTAAGAGCAGCTAATAAGATTACTCAATTCATCAAAATACTAGACTCCAAGGGTTTACAATCGTACAAGTGTTCATATATTTCTACCTACATAAAACAAGTAATTTGCCATTTATCCAACATTTGTACTCTACAAAACGTCTTTCAAAACAAAAATAGATGATAAAGTTCAGTTGGCACTTCGGCATGAGTTAAGTCATGTGAAGATATGAGAGGCATTAATCAAATATGTACCCCTTTTAGTAAAAATGGACTTAGAATCTGTGCCAATACTAAATCAATTTGACCATATCAAGTTGAAAGATAAGATGAAAATCTATCTGAGATGGCTAAACATTCAATGAAATAATACCTCTTAAGTTACTAAGACAAAGCCAAAGTGGAAAAAAGAAGATACAAGCACACCCTCGATTGACTAGCAAACCTATTAAATGACTGGAAAAAAAAAAAAAACTGAGGAAAACCACAATTACTTCTTCTGATCACCCAAGAGAGAGCCCAGCAAACAGCAACTCCAACTCCTCGTCCTGTGATGTGGTTCTCTGCAATAGAATTAAGCCAAGTTAACAAACTATCATATTAGATTCCTTATAGACCATAGGATAAGCAAACACGCATACAAATGTTCAGACTCTGTTCGTTTAATAAACGAGCTCTAAAATTTGTTCAATTATGTTCGTTTACATTAATAAACGAAGGTAAACAAACGCGAGCATAAGCACGAGTAGTTTACAGAAAACTCTGTTCACTAACGCCCTTAATAATAGCTAATAAACCACAAAGCAAGACTCTTGGTGATGTGTGTCTCCTCACCAAAGGGATACAAGTATAACCCAGTTTTAAAAAAGAATAGTACCCAGAACAAGTACAGCCCTGTTTGGTAAAACATTGGCCTATAGGGCAATTTTGGCTTATTTGACCACTATTAATTATTTAATTTAATTAAAATATCAATATAAGTGTTGGTTAATTAGCTTTTTGCAACTCCAAAATGCTAAATTCAAAAAGCTACTCTAAGCAACTTTTTCAATTAGCTTTTTGAGAAAAGAAATTATACCAAACAGCTATAAGCTAACAGCTAATTTACCAAACACTTTCTACAACAGCTAATGTTATACCCTCTAATTAACACAATCAGCTAACAACCATTTACCAAACGTTTACCACAATACCTGAATAGACAAAAGTTGGAGGATTTTATTCAAAACCCGCGTTCGATGAGATACATATACGCTCTTCTGAGGGAGTCTGCTCAATCTCGTCATTTCCTCATGAACTGCTGCTTTCTTCTCATCAGCCCCCACTTTCTTGTAATCATCTCTGCCAGCATGGAAGCTAGAAAGACCCTCTTTGGGACGATTAAGGGAATTTCCACCCTCAATTAGCTCAAAATTTTCCATTTTTACACTACACTAAACAATATAGCAGAATAACAAAGAAAAAGATGCAAATTAGTACACAAGAAACACATAATAACGAACAAAAACTACAACAGATGAACAAAATACTGATAATTTTTGCTTAATGATAAAAGCACGACCTATTTTCCAACAATTATAAAGCCTAAAGACTTGTCACTTGTAAAGATATAGGAGGGAACAACTTACAATTGTGAGAGAAAATAGATGGATTTATAAAGAAGAGTTGCAGTCTTGCATAAAAGAGGTGTAATGGAGAATGGGGATGCTCTGAAAGATTGCCTTGGTGTTACGCTAATCGTAAATTGCAACTTGGGATATCTAGAGTTTTGAATTGAAAAATTTGCCCCAAGCTATTGTTAATTCTATTCCGCGCATCGTTATTCTTTGTTTGTGCAAATTTCATTGAAAAATCTAGGGAAAATGGTCAAATAAACCCTCAAACTTTACATATAAAGTCAATTAAGTCCCTAAACATTAGAAATTGTAATTAGACCTATAAACATATCATTTTGATGTATTGAAACCCACCAACCAGTTAATGACCTGTTATTGCAGGTCACAAAAGTTCCGACTACATTTTGATTAATTTCGGCGACATTCCAATCAACTCCGTCTAAAATTTGAAGAAAAAAAAATGAGCAAAAATCACATGCCGGAAAAGGCAACGATTTTGGTGCCTTCTTCGGCGGTTCTCACTGGAGAAGCCGGCGACCCAGGGGTTGCCTTCTCACCATAAGGCGACACGTGAGAACCGCCAGAGAAGGCACCAAAATGGTTGCCTTCTCCGACATGTGATCTTTTGGTCACCTTCTCTACTTCTCCAGTGAGAATTGTCATGGTTACCTTCTCCGGCATGTGACCTTTCGGTCACTTTTTACTTAAAAGGTTGTTGTCTATTTTAATTACCAAATTAGTATTCAATAGACAATAATTGATGATTTAATTTGTCAAACTTGATAATCGAGTACTAATTTGGTAATTAAAATATAGTCAAGAGATCAAAATAGTCATTAATTCTTAAATAAATTATACCGAAAAAGTATTGGTAAGAATGAATTTGTAATTTTCGTGTACAAGAATTATGTTACATTGACTTGATTATCATTTTCGAAGCATATAATAACTATTTTCTATAGTATATATGGGCAGATACTACATTGTAATAGATTCAATATTATTCACAAAAAAATTGATTTGATTAATTAAAAATTTAGGGATTTCGATTTAGTTGGTTGTACAATTTAGAGGTGGTTTGGTTTAATGAATATTAGTTTATCTAAAGAATATTTTGTAATGGTTTTCAAAAAAAGAGAATATTTTGTAATTGAGGAAATACATACCATCATTACCATGTTTATATGGTTCAACCCTAAACTGATCCTCCTAAATTATAATCATAGAAAAAAGTGATCAACAATTATAAATAAAAGTCAACGTTTTAAACTCATTCTCATAATAAACAATCTAAATCATCTAAAAATATCAATTAAGGTATAAATCTATCCAAATTAAATTTTAAACTTCCATCGAAATAGGCAAGACAATGACAAAATCAGGCTGTTGGTGCGATATAATGTTGAATAATCTGGGTAAAAATTTGATTATTTTGTTAATATCTAATTCTTTTATTAATTTAGCAAGGCAAACACATAGAATAAAGGAAAGCAAAAAGGGTGTTGTGCTATGCTCTAAGCGATCTGTGCACTATAGAATACCGTCAGAATCATGAGCACACTTCTATATTGCACTGTGCACACTGATACATTACACTGTGCACACTCTAATATTGCATTATGCACATATTCACATTGAAACACACACATACTGACATACACATAATGCACCACCAGCAACAAGAAAAACAAAGATAAAAAAATTCCAATTGATTCACATACTTGACTAGTACACAAACTAACTCATATGTACTATAGTGTACGCTCACCAAATTTACAATGCACACACACATCACATGAACACAGAACGCACATCATGCCACGACGAGGTGCACACATACAACAAAAATCCAATCACGAACAAAAAAATTACAATTATAAAAGAATCTAAATTTACCATACATTAAACTCCTAAAATCAAGCATAACATCAACGTACGACCATTTCATCATTCAAACATATAACAAAATTACCACAACACCCCTTTGTAAATAAAAATGAAAACAAAATTGAAAAAATCACAGTCGTACACATTGATGTGCATTGTGGCTCCACTGGTGTGCATTTAAGTCCACGGCTGAAAATAATGGGGAAAAAAAAATCAGGGGAAGGGAGCATTAACAATGAAAAAAAAAAATTCATAGTTAAGCAACATAGGTAGAAAATCTACTATTACTAATTTACTGATGAACAAAAAGTGAAATAAACTTTAACCTATTTTTCAAAAATCTATTTATGGTGTTTGACTTAGATTTTTTTAGAGTTAATACTCAAAATTATCCTCGACTATAGTGGTTTTTCTCAATTTCGTCCTAAACAACTTTGGTGACCTAATATAGTCCCAGACTTTTGTGTTTTGCTCAATTTTGTCCCCCGTTTGTTATTCCGTCAAATTGGTGTTAAATAAAGGGACAATTCAATAATATCAATATTGACCTCTCTTTACTTTCAACCTGCAAAGTGAGAAATCCCTCTTTCTTGTACGAATTACACCCATAATTACTTTCAGGCCTACGAATCAAATTTTATATTCGCAGGTTTAGGAGTGATTCTGGGAGTAATTCGTAAAAAAAGAGAGATTTCGCACTTCACATGTCTATGAGTAAAGAGATGCCAATATTAAAATTATTGAATTGTCTATTTATTTATCAACAAATGGACGGAATAACAAATGAGAGACTAAATTGTGCAAAAACACAAAAGTCTTGGACTAAATTGAGTAAAAACACAAAACTCTAGGACTACATTAAATCACCAAAGTTGTTTAGGACAAAATTAAGAAAAACCACTATAGTCGAGGACAATTTTGAGTATTAACTCAATTTTTTTATTTTATTTTTTCACTTTGACCTTATAACTTAAAATGTTCCATTATAGAAAAAATTTCACCAGAGAATAAAAAACCACTAAAACAAAAACAAGTGTTATGGTAGAAAATTTAACTTTAATTTAAAAAGAGAAAATTTCAATTTTGGTCATATGACTATAGGAACTTTGTTAATTTCAGCACTTGACTTTCAAAAGTGTCAATTTAGTACCTTAAATATGTAATTTTTATCAATTTTGATCACTCCGATCAAATTGCTGGCCAAATTTTGTCGGAAAATTTTAACAGTTAAAATAATGAGGGTATTTTAGTCATTTCACATCTCTTCCTTCTTCCCCGGCAAATTCATTTTTTTCGGCGAATCCGTCGCAGCAACACACCTTCCAAAGCATACTTAAACTCATTCGTCCAAGCCGTCGCCGCCGATTTATTAGGGTTCAGATGACCAAAATTCCGGTTGAAAACATTTGGCCGTTTGTGTAAGGGGAGCTTGAGATATCGACGGACCTAGAAATCTCCGAACTGCACTTCTCTTTGTGCTCGTCCATCGCAGCTCCTGCCAAAATTCCGGTTGAAAGCTTTTCCGGCAAAAAAAAAGGCTTGCTCGAAGAAGAAAACGAAATGCTAAAACTAATGTTGGTGCCTATTTATTCTAAAACTTCTCTACATCAATATTATGCTAAAATTGATGTTGAATAAATACTTCTCTTTTTGGATAATGTTGAATAAATACTTCTCTTTTTGGATAATGTTGAAAGCATCGCAGCGCACCTCATCCTCGGATTCGCCGGAAAAGATAAATTCGCCGGAGAAGAAGAAAAGAGATGTGAAATGACTAAAATATCCTCATTATTTTAACTGTTAAAATTTTCCGGCGAAATTTGGCCGGAAAGTTGACTGGAGTGACCAAAATTGATAAAGTTTGCATAGTCAATGTACTAAATTGACACTTTTAAAAGTCAGAAATTAACAAAGCTCCTATAGTCATATGATCAAAATTTGAAATTTTCTCATTTAAAAATGAAAAGTGTCATGTTCTCTTAAATTATATATAAATTGTATTTTTTGAAAGCATAGAAAAGGCTATATTAAATTACTGCAAAAGTGCTAAAACAAAGTCAGGAGGAACAGAGTTTTAGTACAGCGCTGTACTAACCTGAGCAAAGGCTTTTGATGCTAAAGTATGATCAACTAAATTTAACTGTCTAGATACTTATAAAAATAAAGAACACGAAATAAGTAAAGCCATTGCATGCATTAGAACACTCCTCTATCACAACTCCAACATACGATCTAGGCCTGTCAACTGAGCTTGATAAATAGCGATGAAGAACCGAGCAGTCCATGTGCAAAGCTACAGATGCAACTCCACAGTCTCTTAACCACGAAAGAGCCTCATTGCAAGCTAAAGCTTCCGCCGTAAGAGCATTTGCACAGTAGGCCATCCTCCCATTCATTGCTACCATGAAAACACCCTCTGCCGATAGTAGCACAGCTCCGAACGTCGCCGTGCCCGCCGTAAGGGAGTATCCTCATCGAAGTAGCAATGCGGGATTCCCGTAGCTGGCTGCTGCTGATGTCGCTGGTATATAGAAATTGTATATAATAAAGTTTTCTAAAATTTGAAATATATGAGTTTATATTATTTCCTTAATTCATTATTATACTTTTTTAAAAACATATTCTTATTCTTTATAACTTATTTTTCAAATTTATGATAATATAATTGTTTTCTTGCATTACACAGGTAAAACAATAATATATTAATTTTTTTTAACATAAGGATAATTTTGCTTAAGAAGAAATGAAAATATTATATTATTAATGTATTGTACAACTCTACAAATAAGTACAAATATTATTGATACGTATTAATTTAAATTCGATTTTATAAGATTTTTGTTATAATATTACAATTTCACATTATTATTTTAGGATAAAAATGACACACTAATATGTGACTCACAACCTACAATGAGATATGTGGCCTTAGATCAAAGAGGTGCTAACAATAATAATAATCAGAGAACAAAAATGAGAGAGAGAAAAGAGTAAATATCCATAATTAGTCAAAGGTTCAAACCGCGACGACAAGTGCAATTCTTTCATCTTCCAGCTTGCACTTCTCGGCGGGTCATCCAATCCGACGGTCCAAGAGAGGGGACAAAGATCGGACGGTCGGTTCTTTTTCGTTGCGTTTCTTCCTCATCAACCCGCGCAATTCAGAAGTTTGCACTTTTCATTTTCCAATCCACCATGAATCAGAAGGCTAATGTTTCCAAGGAGCTCAATGATAAGCACAGAAAGGTTTCATTTAACGTTCACATTTTGTTTGCTTATGATCAATGCCGTATTTGATGCAAATATATGATTCATATCAATTTCGTGTGGGTTTGCGTTTATCTGAATGCAGAAGAGTTGGTTTCTTTTGACGCTTCATCACCAGAAATGTTGTTAGATTATTCAGTTTTACAACGAAAATTACGAGACATGTTATAAGATCGGATTGAAGCAATGCCAGAATTATGAGAGATTTTATGAACAAATAATTTTCTGCGGTTTCGGATTATTAGGCATTGAAAATTTTTTAAATTAAACGTCAGATTTAAGGAATGTATCAAGCATATCTTCTCGTCTTTGGAGAATTGAAAGATGCATTGATGTCCTGCATGCTGCTATTTGACATTTTGATCATATTCTCAAATATTTATCATCTCTGACTTGTACTACCTGCATTGGATTGAAAATGGTTCCATTAGTGTACTCTATTAGTCAAATACCAGTTATTGAACTTTAGAACTATATTCATGTTGATTGCATGAAATTGAACTAGCTTGTGATCGGAGACTTGATTTTCATGCCTACATTTGCTTATTTGTTGTTTCTTTTAACTCTTTTTTTCCTCTCAAAATACGTGCTGTTGTTTGTTGGCAGATTCTGGAGGGACTGCTTAAATTGCCAGAAAACAGACAATGTGCAGATTGCAAAGCCAAGTGTGTATTTGGAAGATTATTATTATTTTTTTTAACACAATATATTGGCATAACTATCGTGGGAGATTTATATATTAAGGCATCCAAACGCACAAAAATAGAAAAGAGGATTTTGAAATTGAACATGTATTTTATTTTGCTCTATTTCTTATAAAGAGCAAAAGCCTAAGTTCTATGATCAATATTTCTAGAGGTGACAATAACTATAGTCTTTTTGGGTTTAATGCAATAACTGTATGTTTCATGTGTTTTTATTGTTAAATCAGAGGTCCTCGATGGGCAAGTGTGAATCTGGGAATCTTTATATGCATGCAGTGCTCTGGTATCCACAGAAGTCTTGGGGTGCACATAACAAAGGTGATGAACTGATTTGTTAAAAATATGCATATGCAGGTTTGATGTCAAAAGACCTTAAAGGATATTTTTGCCATCCTATTATATTGTAAAGTTTGATCGTCTGATTCTTTTTCCCAAAATTTATCAGGTTAGATCAGCTACACTAGACACATGGCTTCCTGAACAAGTAGCATTTATTCAATGTAAGTTTCAGTGATTGACAAACTGAAACCTTTAGCTTGACATGATACATGAGAGTGCCTATTAATATGATCCAACGTGTTGTTTATATAGCGATGGGAAATGAGAAGGCAAATAGTTACTGGGAAGCAACGCTGCCACCGAACTATGACAGAGTTGGTACTGAGACTTTCATTCGTGCAAAGTATGTTCTTGTTCTTTTCAGACACCATAAAAACCCCTTCAAATGGAATATGTGATCTGATAATCTTGTGTTTTTTTATTGTTACATGAGACATTCTCTTCTATTTATTGTAAAGGTATGAAGATAAGAGGTGGGCTTGTAAGGACAGAAAACCAGAATCACCTTCCAAGATGCGAGAAGTGAAGGCTCCACTATCCAGTGATAGAAGTGGGCATGGATATGCAAGCAACTCTAGGCTTTCATCTTATGAAAGGAAAAATGTTCAAGCTCCCAACAAAAGGCATGATGGCCCTGCTACTATAGTTCGTCTACCCATGCCGCCTAAAGAGCATGTGTGTAAATTTATTTTGCCCCACTGATTGTTTCATGCTCCATATTCGTTATTTCCTGTTTCTATAATGTTGCTTTTCCTTTAAAGTGTAGTATGCATCACTTGCTCTGTGTCTGAAGTGCTTTCCATGTTGGAATTTTCTATTGAACCTTTTGCAGTTACTGTCTCTTAGATGTCACAAACGTCAATGCTTTTGTAGGGTTGTAGTACAGGAAAATGGATTTTAGTGCCTCCTATTAGTTTGCAGTCAGTGTGAACTGTCAAAGACTTTATCTACACATTTCAAATATTTATCAATTTCTAAATTCCAAATGTCTAACAGTTGAATGAATCTTGTATCTATGTTGTTGCCATTTCCTTTGGCAATTATAGTTGGTCATTTCTTCTAAAGCATCCTTTTTCTATCTCTACCCATTCAAACCTATTTAGAATACGACTATGGACCTTACATGCCTTTTTGCAGGTTGCTCCTGTTCAATTGGCACCACAAACAAGCCAGAATGCAGAGCCACTGGCAACCTCGGTATCTGCAAAGCAAGTTGTACAACCTGCCAGTGCTCCTGATTTTTTTGATATGTTTTCTATGGATGGTCCGGGTGAAAATAGCTTAGTGACAGCTACTGTGAATGATGATGGATGGGCAAAGTTTCCATGTAAACTTCAGAACCACTTAAATTCATCTTTATTTTCTATATATACATATATCTGGTTCTGTTTCTTTTCTTTGATTTCTGCTATGTTTCATTTTATATTCTTTTTTGTGTGCATGTTTGTGTGGTAACTTTTTTCCCTTCTCTTTATTGGTGGTGTTGGGGAGGGCTGTTTATTAAAAAAAAAATGAGGTTGTTATTGGGTGATATTGATTGGGAGATTTTATTTCTCTGACTTTCATACTCGACCAAAATTTTTAGCTGCTGGAGAAGCGACACCAACAGAAAAAACTATGATAATAGGATCTGATAATATCAAGCGAAAATCCACTTCTGGATGTGAAGATTTATTCAAGGATTGTACGCCAGTTGCACCCGATTCCTTGGTAGAGAAAACAACTGGGGCAGTGATATCTGATAATATTAAGCCATCACAATCCATTTCTGGCATTGAAGATTTATTCAAGGATTTTACACCTGTTACAAATGGTTCCTTGTCAGAGAAACCCCCGAAAAATGTCAAGAGCGACATTTTGAGCCTTTTTGACCAGGTATAGTGTAGAAAGATGGAGGGGTTTTCTTCCCCTAGTTAAAAGTCCATATTATTGAACTTGTTTGTTTTTTTTGTGAATTGCAGTCGAATATGGTGTCACCATTTCCTATGCATCAACAGTCTGTTCTAATTCCTGGCGGTGCGCAACAAGTGCCAAACAACGCCAATTTACCAAACCAAAGTTCACAGACTTTTTATTCCCCGTTCCCTGGAAATGTGATGCCTGCTGCTACAAAGAACGAGCAAGACAAATATATGCAGGAGGTAAAATGTTTGTCGAGATTTGCACTTGGCTAGGAACTCCATTCATTGGCTAATAATAACATTTTTGCTGTCTTTGCTTTCAACTAGATGGGTAATACAGGGGCAAGAAATTCTGTTGAGAACCATAGTGCTTCTTCAACATCTAGGTATGGCGCATCATCTGCCTTTTCTTGGGTCGAATATACGTTTCTTGAACTGTATCCAGGAGCCCCCCCCTGTATTTCCTCAAAGTATGCATTATTAACAATTTTATATTTTCGATTCGTTTTGTGGTTGCAGTGGCCAAGCTGCGGGGCAAAATTCTTGCACTAACAGTGCAGTGCATTGTGGATCAAGCAAGCAGGAGGCATTCCCACCATCTTCCACTTCTGCAGATTCTGCTAAAGATTATGATCACTTTTCCTTTCTGACACAAAGCATTCTTTCGAAACAACGCTGAAAAGCTCAAAGAAATGTTCTCCATGGTAGTCTACAGATGAATAGCTTTAGAAGGTTCACTCTCCAGGCTTTTAAGGTTTTTCCTGTGAGATTGTGAACTCATTTGTGTCTCATCTCTGTGGACCAATAAGTATTTTAGATCAGATTTCACTTTTTTTTTTCTCCACTTGGATGTTGATTATGAAGATGCCATATTAAGGTAATTGATCAACAGTACATATTATTATATATTTAATATTTAATACTCATAAATGTGTAAATTATACCAAGAGTCTTGTTTTTTTTTTTT